TGTACATATAGACATGGATGAATTAATTCTGTCATGGTAATCAATGTATTAATTATGATATGTGGTATCATTATTAAGTTTTCTTGTGGTGTCATTGTCTCAGCATTATGCTAGCCGGAATGGTCACGAAGAAATCTGTAGACTCCTCCTGGATAAAGGTGCCGATCCCAATCTGCAGACCAAGTCAGGAGTTACACCGCTGCATAGAGCAGTATACTGTTGCCATGTTACTATAGTCAAATTATTGCTGAACAACAGAGCTGATCCAACTATAACAGATGACGATGGAAAAAGTCCATTGCACAAGGTATTATTAGATTAAAATTGTTTTTGTAACACAAAAATAACGTTTTCACCACCAGCTTTCTCATCTAAATTTTTTGGCATGTTTTTCTTATATTCCTCATTATTTCTGAATATTTTGAAGCCAAAATTTGGCTATTTTCGTCCCAATCTTCTCAAAGGAAGTGCAGACTATAAACTATTTTGTGAATTTGTGATGAAAAGAGGAACTGGTTGAGAAAAGGCACCCACAAATGTAATCCTCTCTATTTTTGCATAGGATGGCAACTTTAATAATTATATGATACCAGTATAACCAACCTATAGATTAATATGTGAGTGAGATTTCAGCAAAAAACAACTGCTTTAAAAATGGCAGCCTGAGAAATTTAGAGTTAGTACTCAGTTGGGTCAACTTTTCCAATATTGCCATTACCAGTACAGGTGAATCAGCTTCATTTTTGGGACTTTTCAACATTTTAATTTGATTTTAAAACTAGAAAAATCAATGCCAGGAATGGAAAAAAAATGCGTCCCTTGCAAGGTTTAGGTTTCTGTTGATATTCATGAGCTGAAAATTTGCATATCACATGACCTGGTGGATAGAACATGGTGCACGCACAATCGAACATGCCAACTTAGCCTATTCTTTCAAATGCAAGGTCAATGATAATCCCACAATATCGCAACAGTTGAACATAATTACAAAACGATGCATAGCCGAACAATTTCCACCCAACGGCTGCTGAAACATACCCTTTTGGTATCATAATTTACATAAAAATGGGAAAGTATGACTCATGCAGTCATGCAAGTTTTGTTGTTTGAATTCAAGCCTGACCTCCTGTGACCTGGTATGAATGGTTGGATAAAAATAAACACTGCTATCATTATTACGTGATCCACTGTTCACTGGCTATACAATACATTTGTACCAGTCGGTTGCTGAATGGTGCTTCAAAAGAACTCAAGTCTTTTTGTTTTTTCATAGTTACCCGCATTTTTTGTTCACCCAGTTTTTTTGGGGATTTCGTTAAAAAAATAAGAAAAGTATTTTGTGCATTTTTAAGGTTAAAAAAAAAAAATTTGTATGCCTGTCTTATTCAAGAAATTTCTTTTGTGACTTTATCTGGTATTTCACATGTTCAGTTATGTAAGCACACATATGCAAAGAATTGAAAGTGAAGTAAGATTTCAGTACATCACTGTTTGTGATATTTTTTCTCTATTTTTTGGTGACTTGCTGCTCTTTCTAAAAAAATTATAGATTCAATAAATAAAACAATCATTTGTGCTCTTGGAGTAGTCAAATTAGTGGTTTCATATCGTTTGAGTTGTAGGAAAGCAACTTATCAATGGGATCTTGACTTCCATCTTTTTCTGTGTGTACCTGCAGGCAGCTGAGAAAGGAGACTATGTAATAAGTCAGATGTTGGTTTCTGTCAATACAGCGGTTGGAGAGGCCATCAAAGACATCATAGATTATAAAGACAACATGGCAAGTGGATTACGTACCAGATGAAAACCAGCAGCTTAAGGAATTTCTCAGACCCAGCTCTAGATAGGTTAATTCAATGGCATTGTTCGTATCAAGTTGTGCGTTCTTTTTTCTCAGCGGTTTTTAGTCATTGTTTCTTTTTAAATATTTTAATAAATGATACTTGTGCGCGGTGGTCGCGAAAATGAACAAGCATTATACTTGTAATATTAGAACCAATCGTTTTAAACTATGTGCAGCATCTTTGTGGTTAGTGACGATATTGTATACAGCAATTACTGTGGTTGAATATACACTATATTTCATAAACTTGCAAATAAACCACTGTGTGTTTTGCGATAGCCATACTATAGTGGGCAAGAAAGTTTCAAAGCAATTAACTTTACTGCAAGTTATCGTATTTGCTCTACCGGTACTAGTATCTCCAAGTATACCAGCTCACACTGTTTTAGTGTGTCATTTATGTAAGTTTTTAATAGAACAAATACTGTAGTTATAGGATATATTTCTATCTCTGCAACAGGTAGTACCTTTTCTTATGCCAGAGCAGTGGTCACATATACTACACAGAGCAACACATGTGCATTGTATGTCAAATGTATTTTCATTTACGCAAAATTCAGACATATTCAAATACGCGTGGCTGTATGGGACAACCACCGTCATTTACACAATTATGGCAATTTGTGAAATTTCAGACTTGTTGACATCAAAGGCGACTGCAATGCATTTCCAATCAGTGTGGTTTTGACAACCATCAAAACAGCTTGGCCAATGGTGGAATTCTAAGTCGGTTTGAGCTTCAGTAAGACTGCATGGTCTTCTCTCTGTTCAAAATTGTTGAAGACCAGTTTTATTGAACTCTAACTTATTCTTGTATGATCTGAATTTGCATAATCAAATGATTTATTGATTTCTTTCCATAATACTTTGAATAATTATGTTAGTCCTAAAATGTTGGTTGAAGTTTCTGAAATTTGTTGACCTTGACTATGATATAACTTCAACTCCTTCAAACATCTTAGACTTTATCCGCAAATGCTTGCAGTGATCTTGTTGGTAGCGAGAGAGCCACACATCTTGTTTTTGTCATTAAATAGTGTCCATTTTTTATCGCTATATTGCGTCCACTGTTTCGAATAACATGGTTTCCTATGGCCACAGTATACATGAATCGGGAAAATTAACTATTCAGGCTCTCTTCCTCACACTGAGATCTTGACAGTCATTTCCGAGTAAGATCTATTGTGTATGTTTAAGTCTATGGTTAAATTAACACTTTGAATGGCATTATTTTTCCAAACAAATAGGCTCTTTTTTTTTTTTTACACATTGTTATATAAGTTCTTTGTTTTGGACCATATGTACATGTATTTGCCATTTGTGTGTAGGTCTTGACCCCAAATGTCAGAAAATTTTTTAAAAAATAATGCAGGTTATTTTGCGAAAGGTGAAAAAAACTTATTAAAACAATAACTTGAAGTTATTATCTGATGATGGACATCAGTTTGTTATGAAATGCTTAGTATGACTTTTTGAGTATTTACATTTAACATGGTGCATTTCTGAAATGTTATTTCAGATCTGCTTTTATGAAGAAAATATTTTTGTTGCCGAATCTTTTACAGCATTAATTTTTATTTGAGCTTTTCATGTGTAATATTGACTAGTGTACATTCCTTTTTCAGTAGATAAATACTGCATGATGATGTAATTGTGTACGACATACAACACAAGGTTTAAACTTGAACTCCACTGCAGATGAACATGCTGAGGCCAGACTTTTTTTATTCCTTGTTTCTCAAGTTTTTATAAGGCAATTTTTTTGAGAAGGGCGAAAAAAAAAATTAAATCTTTTTTTTTTTTCCATTAGATTGTGTGATTCTCAAAGAGTTGTAAGTGAGATCATTGATCGGAGAGAAGGAATGAAATAAAATTTTATTCCATGTATAACCTTGTTTCCATCTGCGCGAGACTTCGGTACTTTGATCATGATACTCCCACGAAAATGCAACTTGGATTTTTTACGTTGTGAGCGGTAAAAAAATGAAGATAACAATTATATGTTTTAAGCATTTTTTTGCACTTACAAATCGGCAGGCGCGAGAAATTTTATTTTTATTTCATTTTCAGCTCTGGTTCATTCCGATGGTTTGCGAAACGAGATAATAAAAGTCTGGCCTAACCATAAAAAGTGGCCTGTAGTGAACACGCCCCACAGCGTAAAACCTTGTTACCATGATTAAATAGGTAGAAATAAATAACAGTACATAACTGAATTGACGTGCACCCTTATAATTAGTTATGGTCATTGAATAAAGAATCATAGAGGGTATTTTGATAGCTTTTAAATAATTGAAATTTTTTTTATCCTTACATTAACGCTAATTTACATTTGTGGTGCCAATTAAGTAAACAAATGGTATTATTATACTTAATAGCCCTATCAGCCAATCGCATTCTTGCGTTGCCAGTCAATATATTTATGTATTAACTTCTGGCCTTGGTGATTGCGCAAACACTATTGGTAGCCTAGAAATGTTCAGTTTTCTCGATGGAACACCTCTAATTTTTGAATAGGTCGAAAAAGTGTAATATTTTCTCCAACAAGGTATCGTACATTACTTGTGCCTGAGCTGCCTTCTGCATAAATACTTATTAAATACTTGTACTTGTAATCATTGAAAACACAACTAGATGTGCGTAGTCGCCGCACTGTGTATGTGTCTAGTGCTGAAACTTGATTTTCGCCTACATTTCCAGATTTGTATGTCATTATATGATGTTTACTGCTTCTATTTATTTTATCAAGGTAATTTTATGGCTCATTGTGTATCGCCATTTCTATGAGTTAGATTAAATTGCTTGTATTTAACTGGAAACATGTTGTTTTATTGCATTTTATTTTCCTCTCAGTGGTCCCAATGCTCTTTCTGACTCTTCGTGTGGGTCTTTGCAGCTATGGTGTCTATATGTATGTATGTGTGCATGTATGTTCAAAAATTTCAATGAAAATTGGTACATAGATGTTCTGGATTAGCTTTTGGTTAAAAACTGTATTTATTAATTACTTAATTTGCATAATAATTACCCTATTTTTAGTCCCCGGACCCAGTCTGAAAACGGGGACTTATGTTTTGACCTTTGTTCGTGCGTCCGGACAAGTATCTTAGTCATGCCTGGACCAATGACAATCAAACTTCTTACATAATATTATACATATGCACATCAATTTGTTTCACAATCTGATTCAACATGGCCGAATGGTGGCCATTTTTGTGCTAAAAATCATCAAAATCAAGCATTTATGGATGGATTTTGTTTAAACTTGATACATACAATGGACATTATGATGCACATCATTTTATATTTCAGATCCAATTTAAAATGGCCAACTGTTTTAATTAGTGCAGTTCTAGTGCCATATCTCTGCCATGCTTTGACTGATTATGTTAAAATTTTATATATTCATTATACATCATAACATTGGTTTGACTGTCATATTGGCCAAATGGCAGCCATTTTTGAGCAAAAAAGTCATCAACAGTCAGCATTCCTGGCATTCCAGAACTGGATATTGGCGTTTATGGATGGATTTTGTTCAACTTGGTACATACATTAGAGATTATGGGTTCCTGATGCACGTCATTTTATTTTTCAGATCGGATTCAAAATGGCTGACTTCCAGAGCCATATCTCTGATATGCTTTGACTGATTATGTTCAATTTTTTATATTCGTTTTACATCATGTTATAGATATATAGATGTATTCAAAATGGCCGACTGGTGGCCATTATGTTTTAATTATTGCTGTTCCAGAGCAATATTTCTTGAGATATTGAGTACTCATTTTAATGTTAAAAAATCATCATAATCACGCATCATCTTCTGGATCCATTCTCTTGACTTGTTTATGTTCCAACTATATTAATATTAACAGAACTATATATCTTAAATTTGATAACTAACGGAGACTGTGCCATGCATACTTGGTACATAGATACCCTGGAATAAGTCATGTACATGTTTGATTCAGGGTTATATTTTGTGTTTACTACCCATTACCTTAGTTGCATAAATTAACCAATTCATAGATATATTGGATGAAACTTGGTACATAGGTGCTTTTGAATAATCCACAATCTACAGGGTTGATATCCTTGCGTAAGTTAATCCAATGTGTGTCGTAACAACGATGGTGCGACATGAAAGTATGTGTGTGTGTGTGTCCATCTGTTCCACTGATATCTCAAAAACCATAGGCTGCTTTTTGATGAAACTTGATGCATAGATGCTCTGGGATAATGCACAGATTTGATTAGTTTTTGGTGAAAATCTGTGCATATTAATTACCTGATTTGCGTAATGATTAGTAAATTTTTGACTTTTCTACTGATATCTCAAGTACTAATGATCACATTTCAATAAAACTTTGTACATAGATGTCATAGGACAATGCACAGAACTAATCATTTTTAGCTTAATATCTGTGCATATTAATTACCTAATTTGCATAATTAATCATTTTTCATCTTTTGATATTTCATGTACTAATTATCACATTTCAATGAAACTTATGGTAGTAGATAATACTCAAGGACTATGGCGAAAACCTGATTATTTTTTAATGATACAATTATTGAACCCTAGCTGCCATGGTTGATATCCAGATTTGTTGACCTAACAAACCTCTCTTTGGGTCTGTTTTCAAATATATGAAGAAATACACTCAGCTCCTGTGCTTTTTATGGCATCAGGACATACTTGCTGATGACACCAACATGAAACAAGGTACATTTGCTTCTAAGTAATAGAAAATTATAAAATTTATAATATATTTGTGATGCAGGTTTAGTTAATTTTGTACTGCTGGCTTCCCCTGTGCATATTAATTACCTGATATGCATAATAATTAGTCAATTTTTGGTCAAGTACTAATCATCACATTTCAATGTAACTTGGTACGTAGATGGCCTGTGACATTGCATAGACCTTAGTTTTATACTCGTATGAGGTATGTAAAAGGTGTGAAAATTAATCACAAAGGGCGGAAGCAAAGTGTGAAGCGCACATTTAGAAAGGGACCGAGGGCAGACGAGAAAAACAATAGAGCG